GTCAACTTTCATTGACGTCAAGTCCTTCTTTTCTTTAATTAACCAAATTTGGAGCAGTGTGGCCAGCGAAACCACGGAGCTGAATGCCACTTTTATCAGTGTGTCGGAGCAAGTGAAAGAGGGCATCGGACATGCTCGACCCCTGATCTATGCTGCGGTCTATACGCCGACCATCATTCTTCTAGGTATCCTCCTTGCGTATTTAAGCATTGCTATACTCCACGTTCTCGAGGCTAGGAAAACACAACTCTTCTACCTCGGTGAGTTTCAGCCTAGTCTTCTCCAAAATACTTCCTGTCGAAGCGAAATCATAAGGGTGACCACCTCAAAACCTCTCAAACTGTCTATTATATTGCTTGTTGCTTACGTTATTTGGAAGGAGTAAGCACATGCCCATAGCTGAAGATAAAAGGGTTCTACATTCCTCCTCAAACAAGCTGCGAACCATTTGAATTGCGTCGCCCTGATAAAAGAACCAAAATGGGCTATGTAAGGTTGTCTTACTCGTGCCTCATGGATCGCCTTTTAATTCTTTTTAGTGGTGCAACAGTTAAGCCATTTTATGCGCTTGAGCAAGTGACAGAACCGTAGCCAAAGACATTTGCGTGGTTAAACATGAATGTCAAGTCACAATCATTTTGCCGGGATGCGAGGGGTGTCGGCTCACAATACTTTTGTTCGTTAGCGATGACAAAAACATGGTAGAAAGAAACCTCTAACAGTCAAGAGCGATAATGTTGCATAAGAATTTTTCCTACCCACAGTTCCATTAACTCAAAAAAGTATTGTTCAAATGCAAAATGAGATTCAGCTTCAACGTTAGATTGACTGCATTCACCACCTTTTTAGATGAAAGTGCTGCTATCACTTCATCGCACGTCTGCAGCAGTCGTGGCAATCTCATTCATGCCGTCTTCTTCATTGTCTTCCTCACCATCACAAGCATTTTTATTATCGTTTTCTTGCCCATCTGCATCCTCTTCATCAACAATGGATGCGCGTACTTGACAGATCAGCATGGAGTCGCTCAATCAGACTACGTGATCAACTCATTTATAGCCTCGCAATTGTGGCCACCACTTGTGAAGCAAATTCACAATTCCATTAACAATCCAACCACGGAGTTTCTCGTGCTCCCACCACCTAAAAACATCATAAATGCATCGACGGTGTTGTGTGGAAGAGCGATGCGCAGTGCCCGCATGGGATTTCTGGGAGCTGTTGGCTGGACGTCTTTCATCAACGTATCTGCCTTCTTAAGCTCCGAGGGGGCAACTAACAAATTTATTGAAGGCGAGAAGTACGTGCTTGAATATGTAGAGCTGTAGAAAACTTTCCATACATTGCATCATGTTATACTTAAAATTGTAAGTACTTCGTCTTTTCAGAGTGCTTAAAGATGAGATCATTCAATTGAATTTGGCTAGTCTGATTCCAAAGGACTTGGATAAACTTTGGAAAACAACACAAAATCTCACCCAATACTTCGATAACATTGATTATCAGGTGGGACTACCATTCTTTTGCAAAAGTTCAGATAGGTAGTAAGAAGGTGACAGCCTATCCATTTTCTTGCAGCCCTCCATCGATGAACTCTCACCTAGTCGATTGCCACTTCAAGCTCTGACCAGTTTCGCAGACGACCTTGAGGATCTTTTGAAGAAGATACGCCAACTTGGCTTGGCTGTGAGTCAGGTTCTTGAAAGGGTGGGAGGTCAAATCCACTTAAGT